TATTGTTTAAGTATAATTTCAGAGCTGAGCAACAGAGAAATTTCTAAAATCATAACATTTTAGTAACAGTTATTAACATTTTATTTTAACATTTTATATAAACCATGTGGAGCAGTTTTTATAGTGTCATATAAGGAACCGCTCGACCAATCAGATTGCTGGAAACTCTTTGCTCAGCTCTGAAATTATACTAATAATAGATATTATAATTAATTTCATATAAATATTAAATATAATATTTACTGTTCCTCATGATTGTTTTTTTTTTTTTTGAGTGGTTACATCATGGAATATTCCTCCTGTCACTTGAGTGTGTACACTGATAAAATAGATGTGGAATATTTTATTGTAGGTCCTAAAAAATTCAGTAGTCAATAAAATCAGTATGTGTTAGGTTGATGAGAGAAGTTAGTTAATTAATGAAAGACTCGTCAGCTTGCATCATCAAAGGTGTTTCTTATAACAGTTTCTGTTTGTGAACATTAATTTTTTTCAGAAGCTGAAATTGGTGACTCCATGCCCAATAAAAACATACAAGCAGAAAAGTGTAAATTTTGGCCTGAGTGCAAGAATGGAGATGATTGCCCTTTCTATCATCCAACAGTGATGTGCAGGTGATTTAATTTTTTTCTTCTAGTATTTCAGTGTATTTACTCAACAATCATTCAGTAACAAGTTTCCTGAATGTTACTTGTTAGTCAACACTTTTACATGCAAGTTATTGCTGCCAAAGACTTGAGTAAACTATTAACCCCTTAACATCAGGATGCATATTCTCCTTGCTTTTCTCTCTGCACATTTCCTTTGGCACAAAGAAAAAATCATGTAACAGTCAAAAGCTTCTTTAGCTGATGATCATTTCCTTTATTCTCATGATGATAATGCTTGATTCAAGGGTGTTACAGTCGGGAGAAATTGGATGGTAATCACTCATGGTGATTTCATTAAGATGTTATAGCTTCAAGTTTATTAGTTACTTCAACTATTCCGTGCCACCCTCTCTAAATAAAGTGTATTATTATTATTATGAATCAACTGTAAAAGGAAATGGGGTTAAAAAAATGGGCTTTGTATTTTTTTTTTCAGGTCTTTCCCGAACTGTAGATTTGGAGATAGTTGTAGATTCATTCACCCACCATGTAAATTTGATGGAAGGTAGGAACTAGTGGATGTCCTATGTTGTATCTGCTCAAATTTACAATTGAAGTTCTCCTCAGCAACCACCAGCTGACAAAGGAAAGTGGCTGGTTGTAGTAGGGTGGCTTTTATCGAAAAAATGGAAAAAATAACACGACTTGTTTTGTTTCAAAGGTTTGAACAGTACTGTATCTGAAAAATGCATAACTCACTCGTTCGTTGAAAGTGGGCAAATAAGAGATGGATTCCTAGAGGAAAGTACCCATAGGTTTCCTTATTTAATCATTACTTGTATATGAGCAAAAAAATCGGTTGTCGTTTTGAATTGGATCATGTCTGTGGGGAGCTGTAAAAATGATGACTGTGACTAATTAAGTAAACATAATTACATAATTTTCCAGGGGAGCAACAAATTTCTGAGGTTACTACAGATATTGGATAGTTTCAAGCTAGAGCTGTAGAAACAAAATAATACAAGTTACCAAATAGTTCTATTCCAATGGTTCTCTTTTTTGTTCTTTTTAGGTGTATCAATGCAGTTTGTCCCTACACACATAAGTTAAAAAACAAACAGCAGACTTCTCCAATAGCAGTTGCAACATCAGGTACAGGCTTAGATGTGATGTCTGTCTGCATCAAATACTGTTTGCTGCAT